GCAACAATGTTGGTCCATCCCTTTAAATCCATAATAAACGCAACTAGAATGAAAGGAATTCAGATCTAAAGACCAAAAAGTAAATATTTTTGTCTTCAAAATAGGAAAATAATCACTGATTATTATTTTATGATGCTACAATATGAAAGTAAAAGTTATTTGCACACCTTGCTGCTCAGGGGAGCCTACGTTTATTTATGTATTCATCATTTATCATATTTGTCATCTAGAGTTGACAGATATGACTCCTACAAAGGGAATCCACACCATTTAGCGGCAAGTTTACACATTCCCCACAGCATAGGTCACCCAAACGCACCGCCGTGCAGCCAAAAATAAACTAAAGCAAGAAAGTACCTCGCTGTTGTCTTATTTAAATCATTTTAAATAACAGAGCCTGAATAGAGGAATTATAAATTACATAAAAACTTTGCTGGGTGACACACAGAGGACAGTTTAACTGACAAAAGTAGTCCTTGAAGTAGTGGCAACCAGACTGTAGTTATTTAGTAAAACGGACATTTAACCAAATTGTGACCTTTACCCTCTTGCAATTTAACCTTCCCCTCACCCCCATCCTAACCTTAACCAGCTTGCGCATGCAAAGCTCTGATTGTTGACGCGCTCCAGACATTTGCGTCCTGAGCACGGCCACAGTAACAGTATCAAGTCAGGTGTCGCCACCTCAAAAACTAATTTAACACGCGATCGTTCATGTCGGCTCATTTCCTTTTATGTTTTCTGTCTTTTATTCTTTTATTTGTGCCTGATGCGTTTCGCTGCTGTGGAGCGGAGCGCATCACCTGTTTTGTCCTTGGTGACGCACCTAACTGATGTGGACGGCAAGCAGCGTGCACTCCGCTGTTTTTGCGGTCGGTAGATCTTTTAGAACTGCAGTTCAAAGGTAACTCATAAGGTGAATATATATGAACCCAGGTAGCAGTTTTCTTTAGGATTGAGAGGAGATGCAGGAAGATAATAAACAGGCAGGACAGAAAGAGTCAAATAAAAACAAGTTAGTTTTTGTACCTGGTGGTTGCAACAAACAGACACCATTGAAGGTAATCAGAAGTGAGGAACAGAAAATGAAATAATTATTTTAATGTTTAGAGCAGCAGGATCTCCGAGAGGCTGCAGGCGCATCCGTGAGTTTGCGGCCGCTGCGCAGGGGGAGGGGGGAGAGGGCAGAAGCAGAAACTACCGTTGTTAAAAGAAATGTGTTTAACTTTGAAAATGTGGGCGCAATTTTAATTGTCAAAAACTCCAGCGAACCATTAGTTCATTTTGCTCAAATAGAAATTGAGGCCTGCCTCTAATTCTGGCCCTCCTTCCAATAAAGGCCTGGAGCTTGATGAGCTTGAGTCAAATACAGGCCCGGGCCTGTATTAGAGGATTTATGGTATTCTCAAACAAATGAACCGTATGATCACAATGTTTGGAGTACATTCATGATTTATAGCTCAAAACGAAGGTATATCCATTAGCTGTAAGCCAGTGTGTCTCATTTCAATTGGCCTTATGGTTTTCTCAGGACCATGCCAGAAATGGAGCAAAGGAGGGTCATTGCTCCTATCTCTGCCCATTATAATTTTAGTGATTTTTTCTGAAAATCTCTAGCCGTACCTCAACTTCTACCTGTGATTTCAGGAAAACTGTAATAGATATCAAAAATAATTTTTAATCAGTAATAGCTGAAAGACTTGTGAGTTGATTAAAACTTGAATGAAGTCTCTAGGTTAAAGTTAACCTATAAGAGTAAGAGTTCAAAAAAGTGATAGGATTTAGCTGAAAATTGAGCAATCCCATTCATTTCAATGGGACCAAAAATCGCAGAAAAAGCTGAATATCTCAAAAAGTATATATATATATATATATATATATATATATATATTTTTTTTTTACCATGTCCTGTCTGGCTGTGAAGCAAGCAGAATTGATGTCTGAATGCTGGTAACAAGCCTTACAGATTTACTCTCAGGTGGAGCATTAAAGCGTCTGCTTTTAATGTCACGCCTGATACTTAAAACTTTATTGTTATTGTTTTTGAATGCTTTGTAATTCCGACCAGACACGGAGACAGCGGTGAAAGAGAAAGGAAAAGAAAAGGTGGGGAGAGGGGGGGGGGGGGGGGGGTTTCCACAAAAATAAACAATAATGAACAAGAGTCTGCTTCTAGACCTGCAGAAAAAGACAAAAAAAAGCAAAAGGGCTAAAAAATGGGACACAACAACAATACAACAAGATCAAGCTATCACTGCGTCAACTTGATGAGGAAATATATAATCAACATTGTTTAACTGAAGAATCACGATAATAAATCATAGTGCATTAAGTGCCCACCATAGTCTTAAGACCTGTGTTGAATGTGCCCAAGCCCATACATATGAGAGCACCATGTGAGCACCTGTGTGTGTACACGCGCTTGTTTATGTAAGGTTTCTCTATAGGAGCGTCCAACAGAGAGTGTGAGGGACCACAGATCCACCCCCCAAAGATGCGCAGGAGACGGGGGGAACTCCAAGTCTCAGAGATCCAGGCGCTGCCCCAGAACACAGGAACCCCAAGGAGACTGCAACCAGAAAGGCCCCCACCCCCCTCGAGTGGCACAGAGGATCGCCCCGGGGGGCCACAACCAGCAGCCGGCAGAGTCCCGGGAGACATCATCGGCAAGCCCTCAGGCCCGCCCGCAGCCTCCCACCCCCTAGCTGGCCGAGCCCGGGACCCAGGGGCTACCACCCCACCCGGGGAACCAGCAGAGCCCAGGGACCCAGACCCCACCAGGCAGCCACCAGGATCTATCAGGCAGATGCCAAAATCTTAAACCCCCAGACCCGGTTGCCACGAACACAGGCAGACCAAGGCACAACCCCTCACACCAGGTATGGCAGGGGGAGGGGGGACGAAGATCTATATCATCAAGAGAAGTTCCAGGAGAGGGGAGAAGTCAAAGGCCCCACCTGACATATACAGTCATACACAAACACAGTCACACACTCCCTCCCTCATGCTCACTAAAAAAGGCTTCTCTCATTAACAGGAGTACAGCTGCAGGCCTCCAACAGCCAGGGGAAAAGGCAGGAAAACAGTGCTGCTCTCTGATTGGTTGAGAGTGTTCAATCATTTTCTGTCCAAGCAGGATCGAGCACCCACACATTTGACACATCAAATCGACCAGCTTGGTCTCAGGAATCTTGTATTCAATTTTAAATTTGTTGTGTTACCATGGTAACACAAGTGCATAAGTATATCCCCAAACAAGTCTTATTGAAATAAATGTGAAAAGCCTAATATTGAGCCTATAACATACTGCTGTTTCTTATCTTTCTGAGCTCTATACACTTAAAACTAGCAGCATAGCTGACATTTTAACACTAGTCAGAAGGCAGGAACCGCCCACTCTTCCTTCGCTGCTCTTTCATTGGCTGAGAGTTTTCAATCATCTTCTGCCTAAAAGGAAATATGCACCCACACATATGATACATCAATTCAACCTGCTTGGTCCCAGGAGTCTTGTATTAACTTGATATTGTGTTCTGCGTTACCATGGCAATGTACTTAGCAACAACATTTAACAAGATTTTAGACACAACTGTATCAACATACTTTAATATAGAAATGTTATTCAAAGTTTAAAAGAGTCATGTGACATTGTGCATTGCTTTATTAAAGCAGACTCCTGTCATCTGTTACCAAGGCAACACAAAGAACTACAAATCACTTTAACCAAGTCTCGTAGGAATGAATATAAAAAGCAGAATATTGAGCCAACAGACTCCTGTTTTTGATCTTTTTGAACTATCTGTACTTATAACTAGAAACAAGTTAAATTTGATTGACCGTCAGAAGGTGGGGAAGTGCACCGCTCCCTGCCAGCTCCCTGATTGGTTGAGAGGTCAATCATCTTCTGGCTAAATGGACTTACACACCCACACATGTGAGACATCAAATCGATCGGCTTGGCCTAAGAAATCCATCCATCCACATATAAATCCATACATGCTTCTATTCATCCATCCATCCATCCATCCAATAAACCATCTAACATCCATCCAACAGTCAATTTATCATTTCATTCATCCAACCATTCATCAATTCCATACTAAGTCTGAACATATGTTAATCTATCAGTTTCAGATATCAGTAAATGTTTCTAAATTCAGAGTTCAGCCAATTGTAAAAATGTACCTATTAAACTATTCTCATTCAAATGCCAGCAGTTTAACATTTCAAATTTTGAGTTTTAAATCAATGTTCAAAGATTTACGTTTTCTGCTGTTTAGCATTTTTTGTCCATTCTCCACCTATAGTCTGAGCTTTATTACACTTGTTGGTGGTTTTTGCTTCTAAATCTTTAAATACATTCAGCTCATTTTGACAGTTTAGCTTAGTTTCAGCTTCACTTCAGCTATTCAGCAGCTTCAGCAATCAGTTTCCAAATTTAGCATATGCTGCTAATTTCACAGTTCAGCTAAATGTAAAAATAAACTGTTAAACTTGTCCTACTGAAATAACAGGTGTTTAGACATTTTAGCTGTCCAGCTTTTTAAACAATGTTCACAGATTTCAGTTTGCTGCTGTTTAGGATAATTTTTCTCTATTATTCACTTACTTTTTGTGCTTTACTTGGTTGTTGGTGCTTTTTGCTTCTACATCTTTCAATACATTCAGCTTATTTTGACAGTTTTGCTTAGTTTCAGCTTCAGTTCAGCTATTAAGCTGATTCAGCTAACAGTTTAAGCTATCCAGCATTCAAACAGCATTTCTGCAAGAAATGCAATTTATCTAGTTTCTGTTGCCATTAGCTAAGCTAACGATTAACATTAGCTAACCTTCAGTGTGCAAACATACACATTAATCTTAAACAAACCTATCAAGAAAGTAAAAGTTTGAATGTATAAGACAGAAAAAGTCATTAAACTTTCAGCAAACCTACAGATGTGACGTTTAAAATGCTACATATTTAGGAAAACTCTAAAAAGAAAGAAGAAAAAAATACAGTATTTATTGTTTACTGTATTTGAGTTTATTAAAATATATTCATGATGCATGACTTACACAATGTCACAGTTATGTATGTTGGAGCTTTGCCCCAGAAAATAATCCAAAATGGCACTTTGACATTTTCATGTCAGATTAATAGGAACAGCACCTCAGATCTGGGATAAACAGGAACAATATAACAAAATAAATTACATTTACATATCTTTTGCATGGAATACTAAAAATATTAGCTCTTAGTGTCAATAGTCACACAAAACAGGACAGAAATACACAAACACAAGTTTAAAGTGCAAATAATAAATTGAAACAACTTCACTTAACCACGTTTTATAAATAGAGCATTTTCCTTCACAAACCTTAATAGTGTTATCTTCATTTTCAGCTATATTAATTATTTCATTAGAGACATGACCAAGTTCCTTTAGTCTGCTCCTCTTGTTTCAACAACTCAACCCTAAAAGGTAATTTGTTTTATTAATGACTCTCCAAAGAAAGAAGGATGCCAGTCTGATTTATAAGGAACTGGGTTCACCAAAGCATAAAGACTAAAAACCGAGGATTTCTTCTGCTCTAGACTAGATCTTGTGTTTCCAGATTCCCATGTTGTTGCACAAAAAAAATTAAACATTATTTATATTGTGTTTTACTAATTTTTTGAGACAATAAATAACTTTTAAAAGGGTCATATTTAGGGACAATCCTTGGAAAATGCCATTCTGGGACTTAAAGATTCTACTTGCATAAATGAACCGTCCTGGTAAAAGATATTTAATGGTTTGTGGGCATTCAACAACCTCAAATTTTTGATCTAGGGGAACATTTGCACTGGAAACACAAGATTCAGAGAAGGTGGTATCCTTGGATTTCAAGTTATTTGAGGCTTAAGAATTTGGGATTGTGGGAATATTCTAAACCAAAGATGTCAATGATCGGATTCTTGAATCGTAGGAATTATTTTCCATGTATTATGAAGTAAGGATGTTGGCCCAACCGGTTAATCAACCAGCACCTTCAAAGGTTTCCTACTTAACATGTTCTTGGCTTATTATGTTGTTTTCAGTCTTTATGCTAACCTTTCAACGCCTGATGCTGCATTTTAAGCAGTTTGACTGGTATCAGTTTCTGTCTACAGTACAAAATAATCTTCTCTGTTGATGCTACCATCTGCTGAAAGCGTTTTAGTGTTGGTCCTTTGTACATTCAATAACCTGGTGTCGGGGACACGTTTAACACTGCTAGTTCATGTTTCCTTTCACTCAAGCACACTTCTGTCACACGTCTTTGCAGTTTGTGGGGAAGGTGACAGCCACAGGTTTGTCCTTTTCTTCGGGTCTCTGAAGATCACGAGGCGTTGAGAAAAGCACAAAACAAAAAAGTGAAACTTCCTTTCAAATCCACCGTGTATTGTTTCAGGACACTGTGAGGATTGAAAGCTGCATTTCCCTAAATTAGGCTTTCAAATGTTGAATGAAAGTGACACGTAAAAGTCCAGTCAGAAAGTCCACACTTCTATGTTAATGATAATTTTCTGTCACTCAAAACTGCTGGTTTTGTTAGTTTTTAACTTGTTATCCATAAACGTTGCTGAGTTTGTTTGACTGACACGTCCCCGCCGATCTTATTGTAGTGGAAACCCGTGATCAGAGGCACCAGACAGCACATTCACATTTAGATCCTCCAACAGGTCCCCTCGGACTGACATGCGTACAGTTGAGTCCTTAAATTTGTAGTTTTCCTTCGCTTTAAGCATGAAAGCCTCTGTTGCGTTTTCTTTTCCTTAAACAGTAACATCTAACCAGCATTCCCAACAAAATGAGCAGAACTAAAGATAACATCACAACAACCACCGTGTAGTTGGGTATGTCTGGCTGGTGACACATTTCCTTGGTCACCTTCTCAATGTTGACTGGCTCTGAATGATCCCTGTGGACACAAGTCACTCTCTCGATGTCAGGAACGACGACTGCGGAGTTCTGCACCATGTGGAGGAAACCCAGGTTGTCGCAGCAGCTCAGCGGGTTGGAGCCCATGTACAGGGTCTTTAATGAGCGTTCCAAGGCGAGGATAGTGGAGTGGTCCAGGGTTACCAGGTTGTTGTTCTGCAGGTTCAAGGACTCAATGGAAGACTCTTTGTTCCACGTTGGCAGAGTCGTCAACTGGTTGGTGGATAGGTCAACATGTTTGAGACTCTTCAGTGAGGACAGGTCAGTGTTCAGGCTTGAAATGTAATTTTCCCTAAGGAGGAGGTGGACCAGGGAGTGTTCCAGACCAGAGAGAGAGTCTTTGTCAATGTCTAGTCCTGCATTTAGAGACAAATCTAGCAACTTCAGCGGGGTGTTCACAAATGCATGAGCAGGAAGGCTCCTCAGGTTATTTTCACAAAGAAACAGGAAGTGCAGGTTGGGAACAGAAGAAAAGGAAACACAACCAGGAGATTCCTTGTTTTGGTCCATTAGTGGCGGTTCGTGCTGGTTCTGCTGAGAGCTACAGATCTTCACATTATTTTGTTGGAGCTGCAGGTATCTGATGTTTGGTAGTCTTTGAAATATTTGCTGATCCAGATTTGTGAGGTAATTTCCTTGTAAGAGGAGCTTTTTAAGAGACGGAAGAGCATTCTCTCCAAACGTTAGACTCTGCAGTGAGTTATGGCTGAGGTTAATAATCTTCACTCTCTCTAAAATGTCTGTGGAGGTGACAGAAAACATGCTGATACAGTTATTGCTCACATTCAGGACCTCAAGTGATCCCATATGGTTAAAAAGACTCTCTGGTAAATTGATGAGTTTGTTATAACTCATGTCCAAGGATCTCAGATGATTAAAGACCAAGTCTCTCTGGATTCCTGCACTTCCCGTGTTGGTGACATTGTAAAGGTTGTTTCGGGACATGTCCAAAAATTCAAGAACATTATTTTCTGGGAGAAGAGGGAAGTGAAGCATTTGGTTTTCACTCAGATCAAAAGAGCGAAGTTTAAATGAATTGTTTGTCTGCGCACTTTGAAAGAATTCAATGCTGTTCTTGCTGAAATTGAGAATTTCCAAGTTGTGAAGATTGAAGTCGATAATGCATGTGATTGAATTCTTGGACAAATCGAGCTCAGCCAGGTGATCTAAAGGGTCAAACGCCCCGTCTTCGATCTCCATGATGACGTTATTGCGGAGGTTGATTTTCCTCAAGGACAAAGCTCTGCTGAAGGTGCTCTGCTCTATTTTTGTGATGCTGTTGCTGTTCAAAGAAAGGTTTGACAGGGATGGAGATTCAGCCAAAAAGTAGTCCGACATGCCCGTGTACAGCCCGTTGCTTGAAAGGTCCAGTGATTCCACGCCTGTAAGAGGTCCAACGTTTGTTTTGGACTGTGCAAAAACATTTAAATGATTCTTGGAGAGGTCCAAAACCCTCAGAGCCTTCATATCTTTGAAGAGACCTGGCTGGATGAAGTGAATTTTGTTGGAATGAAGGTTCAGCTGATGGAAGTCGGTGTGGAAGCCTAAAGTTTCCTGTGTGAGGTTTTGAACCTGGTTCCGAGAAAGGTCCAGCATTTGGACATCCCGTGGAAGGTTGGCTGGTGCGCTTTTGAGGCTCAAATCGCTGCAGAGCACATCCATCTGGACCTGTGGGCAGAGACAAACACACAGGTCTGATGATGTCGGCACACAGCCAGGCACACAACAAATGTTCAAGCAGAGGATCAGTTTATGAGGCAGGGTTCTGGCAACAAAAAGGTCTTCAGAGGTTTAAAAAGGTAAGTTTATTAGATTTGTTCTCTACAATAAAAAAGAACAACATCTAAATCTTTTCTCATTTCTTTTCTCTTTTTACCCTAATAAATTGCGATATTTAAGTTATCAGTTAGTTTATAATAGAAACCACATGTTCACAAGATCCAGTGTCCTAAAACAGCTCATAGAACGACCTCCTCCTTTTTCTCTTCGAAGCACAGAAGAGAACACTTCCCTTCTTGGCATATTTAAGGAGTTGTGTAATGGGCCAAGGCTGTAAACAAAAACACAGATCGCTTCACCGCAGATCTGTTATCAGGAATGGAGGAACAAATAAAGAACATTTGTTTTATGGTATCACTGACAGCAGGAACTCTTCTCAGTGACAGATGTGTACTATCAGAGACGGCCTACATAGACAACAGCTGATTACACTCATAACCTCTCACCGAATGAGTTCAAATCTGAACATTTTACGTGGTTTAAGACGGGTGTAGTCAGATCACTCCAGAAAAACATGACTTCACGTTTGAACTTCTCTTTTTGCATTTAAATATAAACTGATGATTAAAAATAGCTTTTGTGTTTCAGTTTTGGCTTCATCTCTTAGACCTGAAAGTCTGTTTCCTTTCTTTGATGTGATAGTTTTTGTTCAGCAAAGAGAACATCAATGTTTCAGAAATGTAAATTTGGCTCGTTTTACAAACATTCAACCCGTTTTATGGTCCCTTTGAGGATGTTCAGAGCTTTAAGCTCTGTAGCAGCGATTGAGGTTGATTTTGGTTCTGCACGGTGTCACGAGCGTGTGGCGAGGTGAGCTGAGGTGAGGCAAGGATCCACGCGCGGGGAGAAACAAGGCGAACAGGTGAGTCCGTTTAACAAAGGTTTATTAGAAACATACGCTGGACACTGAAACAATGACACGACAGGGAACACAGCACAGAAGGGGTTTAAATACAAGAGGAGCGGGAGCTATGGTGATTGGGAAACAAGAGGCAGGTGGGAGCAATTAACGGAGAACAGACAAAACCTAAGAGTAGACAGGACAGGGCGTGACAGTACCCCCCCCTCAAAGGGCGGATCCCAGACGCCCACAGGAACAAGGAGCAGGGCGGGAGGAGGGGGACCCGGAGGGAGGGCCCAGAGGAACCGAGGGACCACAGGAGAGGCGGCAGGGATCAGCAGAGTCAGGAGGCCTGCTCCTGCTGCAGATGAGGAGGCGACGGGCCCTTGGAGGCCGGCGCCTGGGGCAGATGAGGAGATGAGGACGAACCCTGGGGGCCTGCACCTGGGGCAGATGAGGAGGCGAGGATGGTCCCTTGGAGGCCGGCGCCTGCGGCAGATGAGGAGACGAGGACAGACCCTTGGGGGCCTGCGCCTGGGGCAGATGAGGAGGCGACGGGCCCTGGGAGGGCGGCGCCTGCGGTAGAGGAGCGCTGCAGGCTGGGCTGGGGACACAGGCTGGACCGGTGACAAAGTCCCTGCTGGCTGGACCGGAGCGACCTTCAGAATCACCACTGGAACTGGAGACGGAGGAGACGTCAGACCCGAGGCGACGTCATCGGACGAGCCGACTTCAGGGGAGGCGACGTCATCGGATGAGCCGACTTGGGAGGAGGCGACGTCATCGGACGAGCCGACTTGGGAGGAGGCGACGTCATCGGATGAGCCGACTTGGGAGGAGGCAACTTCATCAGACGAGCCGACTTGGGAGGAGGCAACTTCATCGGACGAGCCGACTTGGGAGGAGGCAACTTCGTCAGACGAGCCGACTTGGGAGGAGGCAACTTCATCAGACGAGCCGACTTGAGAGGAGGCAACTTCATCAGACGAGCCGACTTGGGAGGAGGCAACTTCATCAGACGAGCCGACTTCAGAGGAGGCGACGTCATCAGACGAGCCGACTTCAGGGGAGGCGACGTCATCAGACGAGCCGACTTCAGGGGAGGCGACGTCATCAGACGAGCCGACTTCAGAGGAGGCGACGTCATCAGACGAGCCGACTTCAGAGGAGGCGACGTCATCAGAAGAGCCAACTTCAGAGGAGGCGACGTCATCAGACGAGCCGACTTCAGGGGAGGCGACGTCATCAGACAAGCCGACTTCAGGGGAGGCGACGTCATCAGACGAGCCGACTTCAGGGGAGGCGACGTCATCAGACAAGCCGACTTCAGGGGAGACGACTTCGGGGACGTCATCAGAGGAGACGACTTGGGAGGAGGCGACATCATCAGACGAGACGACTTGGGAGGAGGCGACGTCGTCAGACGAGACGACTTGGGAGGAGGCGACATCGTCAGACGAGGCGACTTGGGAGGAGGCGACGTCGTCAGACGAGGCGACTTGGGAGGAGGCAACGTCGTCAGACGAGGCGACTTGGGAGGAGGCGACGTCGTCAGACGAGGCGACTTGGGAGGAGGCGACGTCGTCAGACGAGGCGACTTGGGAGGAGGCGACGTCGTTAGACGAGGCGACTTGGGAGGAGGTGACGTCATCAGACGAGGCGACTTGGGAGGAGGCGACGTCATCAGACGAGCCGACTTGGGAGGAGGCGACGTCAGACGAGCCGACTTCAGAGGAGTTGGCCCTTGGGTTGGAGGCGTCGACCCTTGGATTGGAGGCGTCGACCCTTGGATTGGAGGCGTCGACCCTTGGATTGGAGGCGTCAACCCTTGGATTGGAGGCGTCGACCCTTGGATTGGAGGCGTCGACCCTTGGATTGGAGGCATCGACCCTTGGATTGGAGGAGGTGTTGACTTTCATCCGCTTCTGGTCCTCTGGCTTCTGGACCGCCGGTCCCGTCTGCTTCTGGGCTGGTACCGTCTGCTTCTGGGCCCGCATTGTCTGCTTCTAGGCCGGAACCGGAACCGTCTGCTTCTGGGCCTGCACCGTCTGCTTCTGGACCCCCCCCCCCCCCCTGGAACAGGCCTTGAGTGAACGAGCAGTGCTAGTGCTGAAGACAGGGAGCGCAGAGCGTCGAGTCGGAGCTGATTAGAATGGGCGCTCTGTTGAAGCCGGACCAGCTCAGCCCGTTGACTGGCCAGTTCAGTTGGCTGGATTGTGGGTGTGGCTCCACCTCCCACAGATGACAGAGGAGCCGAGTGGACCGGAGCCGCATAACAGTTCGTCCAGCTGGAGCTCAGCGAGCAGGTAGTCCAGCTGGAGCTCAGCGAGCAGATCGTCCAGCTGGAGCCCGCGGAGTTCAGCGAGCAGATCATCTAGCTGGAGGACTTGGGAGTTCGATGGTCTGACGAACCTGGGCTGTCTCAACCTGTAGACTGGCGTGCTCCGCCCACAGGGCTGCGAGCGCAGCTCCTCCTCCTGCAGACGCCGATTCGGCCGGAGACAGGACCGCTGGTCTGACCGGGGGCGTGTCCGAACTGGCTCGCCGAGCACGGCCAGCGGTGGGCTCGCAGCTCCGTCCTGAAGCTCAGGGCTGCGGTGGATTCTGGCGTCTCTCCCCACGCCGTGGACCGACCCCGGGGGAGCAGAAAGCCAGCCTCGTGCCCTCGAAGCTGGAGCGATCCCGGAGCATTTCTCCCTCCAACCTCCCGTCCGGTTCCGGAAGGGCGGCGAGGAACACCGAGGCAGAAGGTCGGGGACGCCGGCTGCGGCGAGGCGGAGCTGGAGCTGGGGAAGGAGAAGCCAGTCGATAGTCGGCGGAGAAGAACTGGAATAAATACTTCCATGGGAGGATCTCCCCGCTGGACCCTTCAGGGGGTCGTGTCATTCTGTCACGAGCGTGTGGCGAGGTGAGCTGAGGTGAGGCAAGGATCCGCACGCGGGGAGAAACAAGGCGAACAGGTGAGTCCGTTTAACAAAGGTTTATTAGAAACACACGCTGGACACTGAAACAATGACACGACAGGGAACACAGCACAGAAGGGGTTTAAATACAAGAGGAGCGGGAGCTATGGTGATTGGGAAACAAGAGGCAGGTGGGAGCAATTAACGGAGAACAGACAAAACCTAAGAGTAGACAGGACAGGGCGTGACACACGGTGGAGTTTTTTAAGTCTTGGATCGCAGTCCACCCGCTAATGCCTTCAGTCAGCTAAGATTTCCCCATTTCATTTACACCTACTAATTAAAATAAACAAATCAGGATAGAACAAAGGCATTTAACAGACTTTTATAAAATTGGAAAAACGGTTAATTCCCTCAAAACATATTTTTTTATAGCTCTAACCTGTTTTTACAAGCATTCCGCCTCCACTCACTGTTAACCACTTTCACAAGAAAACCAAGAATATCAATATAAATTTCTGGGTTGCTGGACCAACCCTATGATGGTTCTGTTACAAACAAATTCTTGCTCTGTTTGTATCTCTATGGCTGATTAGCAGGGATGTGCATTAGTGAAATGTTGGCGATACGATACGTATCACAATTAGGGATGCACCAATATGAAATTTTGGGCCGATACCGATATTAATATCACTGTTATGGCCGATAACCAATATTTGCTGATACCGATATACTGACACTAATGCATCTAAAAGCAGTAGATTTTGTATAGAATGAAAATTATTAAAGCTGAATTTACGTTATTGTGTACACATACCACACACATTTACGATTTTGAGATGATTACAATCACTGTCACATGACTAAACAAATACACATCACCCCCCCACCCCCCACCCTCTGAAACAGATAAACAAATGGAAATAAGATGGAAAAATTATTGCTTGTTTTTATCTGCCCAGTTTTATATATTGGACTGATTCCGATATGTTAAAAAATGACTAACATCTGCCAACACCGATGCCGATATATTGTGCATCTTTAATCATAATACAGGGGAGATGATACGATACATTGCGATACATTCAGTCAGACAATATTAGTGATTTTTAGACTGAATTTATAATAAGAAAATCCAATAAACA